TGTATCAACATTCTATAACCAGCAATAATTTGCATAATATTTTGTTCCAAAACTGCCAATGAAACATTCAATTCAACTGCAATGAAGTATCCCATTTAGATTAAGAAGCAAATGTAATTAATTAAATCAGTAAGTGCTGTTTTAAGCTATCTATAAATGCCTAAAAAGCTTGAATTACTGTTGCTCAGGATTTTCTCTATATTTTTGGTCTGATTCTAATTTGTGTAATGTCTCTGTATGATTCATTAAAATGTATACAACATTCGTTTATGGGCAAATTCCAATAAAAGTCTATTATACATTTATTTGTTAATATTGCAAGCTTTTAATTGTTTACTTAATTAGTTAACTTAATTCATGTAAATACCACATTATGTAAATTAAACACTTAATATTTAACGCGTTCAAGGAGCAGTACCCAGCCGAACAAGGTACGATGGTCAGCAGACTGCGAGGTGGCTTTCAGGACACTGAAGGACAAGCTTACTAAAGCCCCTATCTTGTTCCACCCGGATTTCTCAAAGCCCTTCCTACTGCAAACGGATGCATCAGAAAGGGGCTTGGGGGCAGTGCTGTCCCAACAGGCAGAGGGAGGGGAGCACCCGATAGTATATCTGAGCCGTAAGCTCTTCCCACGAGAACAAAACTATGCCACCATAGAAAAGGAGGCACTGGCAGTGAAATGGGCTATAGGCGCCCTAAGATACTAGGGTATGTCTACACTACCCTCCCAGTTCGAACTAAGCATGAAAGAGACTAACCCCCGTTTAATGTGGTGGTATCTGTCTTTACTGCCATACAGTTTCAGCATAACCCATCGCCCAGGGCAGGTGCACACAAATGCCGATTTCCTTTCCCGGGTGGGGGAAGAGGAGATGGGAACAAGTGAGGGGGCAGGTACCCACTTAAAGGGGTGTGTGTGTGACGGGGTGGCCCCGCCCTGCACTCAAGCCCAGGGAAACCACCTGGTGCCGGGGGCGGAGAGAGCCCCACCCACACAGCCCTACTGGGCATGCTCCAAGGGGAGCGCAGGTACAAAAGGCTGCTGGCCTGCTCAGAAGGGGCAGACTGCAGCCCGAGCTGGAGCTAGCATCCAACGGCCAGAGAGGGAGTTGCCAGGAGGGCTGAACGTGCCACTGCCGCCCGGCCCCACCGCCCCCCCCGCCGACCGACCCCCCGTGACCCAAGTGCCGGACCGGACCCTGCCAACTCCAACGCTGACCGGGGAAGTACTAGTACAGCCATCCGACCAACGCCGACAGGTGGGACCGCTACGGGCCGGGGACAGGGGGTAGGAAGCAACCCAGGGCAGGGAGCTGTAGAAGCCCCTGAGGGCTCGGGGCGTTGCGGGGAGGAGCCCCCGCCGAGCCAGTGGTGGGAACCACCCGCCACTACTAGGGCCCTGGGTCGGGGCCCGGTGGAAACGGAGGGCCTGGGCCCCCCTACCCCTCCTTCCCTGACCCCCAGCGAGTGGGGGCTGGGATAAAGAACTTTGGACTAGGCCTCTGGGCCTGCAAGCTGTGGACTAGGCCGGGAGGCCGTATTTCCCCTAGTGCAGGGGCAATGAACTTTGGACTAGGCCGGGAGGCCGTATTTCCCCTATCCCAGGGGCAGTGAACTTTGGACTAGGCCGGGAGGCCATATTTCCCCTATTGCGGGGGCAGTGAACTTTAGGGGTTAGGCCGGGAGGTCGTATTCCCCCTAAAAAGGGGCACCACGCTTCGGGCCGAGGCCCAAGCGATGTGAGTGATGTCCCGGAGGAGGGTGGCAACCCCCAGCAACACACTGACATATGTATATGAAGAATGTACATACACAGGGCTTGCCGAACCGCGGCGAGCCCTGCTGTCCGGCGATCTGCACATCCGCAGATCATTCTGTGCATGCGCAGATTGCCTGAACCCGGCTCTTGCGGGTTGCAATCTACTCACCACGGGCGAGTAGATTGCATTATTTGTCAAGCCCTGTACATATATGTAGATGGAATATACATATAAGGTCTTATCCAAAGCCCATTGAAGCCAATGAACAATACTTTAATTAACCAAATAGGCTTTGGATCAGGCATATTAAACTGAGTATCATCAACAGTGTTCTCTGTAAGCTGTGTGCTTGTGTGGACACTCAGGAGAAATTCAGATGCTATCCAGCTGATTAGCAAAGTGCCCACAGGTTGGTTTTGTGTTTTTATTGGTGGTGCACATTCATACATGCCTTGGTGCACATGAAAATTATTCTGTACATAGAGGGAAAAAATCCACACATTGATGGAAAAGATCAGAGGAAACATTGGTCATCAGTATATACAATACTGTAGCCCACACCTCCTTAAACTTCATAACATATTTACACTGAAGATAGAGATGGGGCAAGAATTTCCCATCAGAGAATCACTGGAGCAGAAGAACAATTTCCCACAATTAACACCTTGAACCTCTCTGATGGTCCTATAATTCTATGATAGGTGGGAATGTAGCTACTAAGAGCTGCTCTGTTTACCTTTGCTTGGGTTCAGAAGTGTGTCAACAATAGCCTCTGCTCAACAATATTGAAAGCCTTTGCAAAGAATGGTAAAGGCCAGAGCAATATGATGAGTTTAACTGCTCGGATAACTATCTTTGCATGACCTTCATGATAATCTTAACCAAAAATGGAAGACTAGTTGTACCAGACACTGTGGGTATGTGTAGACTACATGGCTCCGTCGACGGAGCCATGTAGTCTACACATACCCACAGTGTCTGGTACAACTAGTCTTCCATTTTTGGTTAAGATTATCATGAAGGTCATGCAAAGATAGTTATCCGAGCAGTTAAACTCATCATATTGCTCTGGCCTTTACCATTCTTTGCAAAGGCTTTCAATATTGTTGAGCAGAGGCTATTGTTGACACACTTCTGAACCCAAGCAAAGGTAAACAGAGCAGCTCTTAGTAGCTACATTCCCACCTATCATAGAATTATAGGACCATCAGAGAGGTTCAAGGTGTTAATTGTGGGAAATTGTTCTTCTGCTCCAGTGATTCTCTGATGGGAAATTCTTGCCCCATCTCTATCTTCAGTGTAAATATGTTATGAAGTTTAAGGAGGTGTGGGCTACAGTATTGTATATACTGATGACCAATGTTTCCTCTGATCTTTTCCATCAATGTGTGGATTTTTTCCCTCTATGTACAGAATACAGGTAGTATGCCACGAGGTCAAATCTGCTGGTCAAAATATAGCAGACTCTGTGGTAAAAACAGAGAAACTATTCTTCCACATAGCATATGTCATGATCATGACAGCATACAATTTCAAAAATCCTTCATTGCACAGTTAGTTAAACTCAGCACAAGACTTCCCTCATCGGCGCACTCTCCATTTTCCTTCTTATGTCAGTGGTCACAATTCATCTGTAGAGAATGGATTTGCACACATTACTCAAAGGTTGAATTTTGCTTCCAGGTCTGACGGGCTGTGTCTACACTGCAGGGTTTTTGCACAAGAATACTTTTGCGGAATAGTTCTTGTGCAAAAATTTCTTGCGCAAAAGCACGTCCACACCTCAAAGTGCATCGCTTTTGCAATGCGCTTTTGCACAAGAGAGTGTCCACATTGCATGGACACTCTTGCACAAAAAAGCTCTTCTGGCCATTCACAGAATGGCCATCAGAACACTTGTGCTTTTTCAGATAGGCTCTATTTGCACAAGAAACCCCTCCGGAACATCCACACATGCCTTTTTGTGCAACAGTTGTGTCCAGTTCTGGACACTGCATTTCAAGAAGGATGTGGAGAAATTGGAGAGGGTCCAGAGAAGAGCAACAAGAATGATTAAAGGTCTAGAGAACATGACCTATGAAGAAAGATTGAAAGAATTGGGTTTGTTTAGTTTAGAAAAGAGAAGATTGAGGGGGGACACGATAGCAGTTTTCAGGTATCTAAAAGGGTGTCATAAGAACGAGGGAGAAAACTTGTTCATCTTGGCCTCTGAGGATAGAACAAAAAGCAATGGGCTTAAATGGCAACAAGGGAGGTTTAAGTTGGACGTTAGGAAAAAGTTCCTAACTGTCAGGGTAGTCAAACACTGGAATAAATTGCCCAGGGAGGTTGTAGAATCCCTATCTCTGGAGATATTTAAGAGTAGGTTAGATAAATGTCTATCAGGGATGGTCTAGACAGTATTTGGTCCTGCCACGAGGGCAGGGGACTGAACTCGATAACATCTCGAGCTCCCTTCCAGTCCTAGTAATCTATGATTCTGTGATTCTATGAACAGCTGTAGCGCAAAAAGGAGTTGTGCCTTGTAGAAGGTTTACCTACACTGAAAAAAGTCCTCCGTTATACCGTATTACTCTTGATATCCTTGTGCAAAAATGTATTTGAGGTATGGACTCTCTGCGGGTTTTTGCCAAAAACCTTGTAGTGTAGATGTAGTCCAAGTAATGTAGTTCTCCTGAAACATCACAAAAATGAATGCTGTGCAAGATAATTATTCGTTTATTCTGCTACAAGGGACTCTGCAATTTCTGTCCATCAGCATTGGAGTTTATGAAGCTGAGTTTGCCTGCAAGGCTTGTGGAAGAACCATAACTCTTCTGTGAAATTATATATTTTGTTATTTTTACTATAAAATAAACATAATACATTGTTAAATCACCAGGTCCTTATGTGAGTTTGAACTGTCCTGTTTTGCTTACTTTTACACTGCCCTTATCTTCAACATAGTCAACATCCTTTTGACTGAGAACTAACTAGAACTCCCCTTTCATCTTAATGCTCTGCTTCACTGGCTAGAGAAATGGCTTTTGCTTTTGAGTAATATAAAGGTGTTTTTCCCCCTCAAGAGACAGACAGCTGCATGGAATTCACAGCCTCCTGCTGGGCCAAATGGCAGGAGAGTAGGATTGAAAATAAATGTATCTAGAATATCTCAGCACCATTTAGTAAATAATTAATTAGTACTTAATGATGGATTAGTCACATTAATTGAACAGTTGTTTGTATTTCATTGAACAGTGCTTTAGACATCCTGGAAGAAATTAACTTGTCAACAGGGCGTAAAAATAACTTCAGTGAAGGAGCTCTGGACAAACTACTTGATAACAACCTTTCTCAAAAATACAGCCAGATGGGGTACTTATCATCCAGTAACATAATTACTGATGGGTTCTTTGATTATGGTCAGGTAAGTTACTTTAAATATTATTTAAAAGTCTATGCAGGTTCTGACTCTTCTCTTCATCAGACAAAGTACTGGGTTTATGGCTTCTTTGTACCACCCAAATGCAAAAGAGTCCTAGCAGGGACCGGGATCACCTTGCTTCCTTCTCATGTTGTATCTGTGTCTGCATGGTGAACTTTTGTCACCTTTTTTATCACCTTCTCGGGCAAATGAATCCACATTTTTTCTCATACTTCCGCATCTCTGGAATCTTACTGCTGACCACATGTACTTAGCAACCAGTTTCCTTTTTTGGATTCTTCCTGAGATACTTGGTTCCTCTCCTGCTCTTTTTCACTACAGTTTGTATAATGAGATGCCTCAATTGTCCTTCTGAGTGTCACTGTGAAGCCTAGAATGTCTTGAGTCAGTGTGAAGCAATGGAAACAGCTACAAACATAGTTAAGAACCTTTTTGTTCAAAATATCACCAGGTTCAATCATCCCTGTTATTCACTGTCTGCTACTGTACAGTTTAAGTTACCAGCCATTTTTACTTTACTAATTATACCTGTGAGATATTTAGCAACAGTAAGGCATGTATCTATGCCATCCAAGAGGTCTTGACCACTGAGATATCAGAAGTAACTGAACCATTCATTGCCCTTACTCTACAGTTAGTTTGCATGATGGAACAATTCAGTGATTGTGTGGGAAGCTTTCCATAAAATGGCCTTTCTAGAAAAACCACGCCATACTTTGTTTCTGTCTTAACTGTGCATGGGATCCTCAAAATTACCCAAGTAAATTACAAGCACAAGTCCTATTGAAAGTCAATGGGTTTGTGCTCCTAAATCACTTGGGTTCCTTTAAAAAAAACACGCTGAATTGCATGGACATGTTTTTGTTCTGAACTAGTTTTGGATTATATAACAATTACAATATAATAACAACAATTACAAATGAAATTATTTGTAAAACAGCTTCTCAGTGGGAGGTAAGTGAAGAAGAAACTGATTTTTTTTTGTGTTTGTGATTCAAGTTCTCAGCTATATTCTGTTAAAGATTCAGAATCTTACATTTTTAACCTTATTTTTTCAAAATAAGCTTTTTCGTTCACCTTTAATAGACTAAAGTGTCTCTTCTTTTATTCTAATTTTCCTGTAGGTAAAGCCTGGAGTGAAACTTTTGTCTTTGGAGGAACTGTGTACACAAGAGCTTAATGATCGTCGTGCTATAATTTTAGTTAATGCTAAACTACCAGAAGTGTGAGTCAGATTGCTTTGGAAAGATCACATTTCATTAAAATAACTTGCTTTTCCCCTCTGCATTCCCATAGCCCAACAGTACTGCAATTTTGACTTTCTACTGTGCATGAGATCTTTCTAGGTTAACCTTAACATTGTACTTCCTTTTTCAGGAGCCAAAGGTTTTGCATTTTATAAGCTAAGAGTTTTGATAGTTTTTTTTCTTGAAACAGCAAAGACCTGTTCAGAGAATTGCTCCAACTCTCAATAAAATGCTCTGTTCCAGTGTCCCATCAAGTAGCGAAATGTCCTGGAAACCCCGCTGGACATTTCACTACTCGATGGGACACCGGCTTGCAGGAAGAAGCAAGAAATGGTGCCGTGCCATTGCTCCTCATGTGGTGCAGCAGCCTCCTCCCCCTGTCCCCCAGCAGGGTGCGCAGGGCAACTGGGCTGGCTTCTGGTGGCATGCGGCCCCTCCCTCTTCCTCTGCAGGACTGCCTCTGCTGTGTGGAGTCCTGGTACAGAGGCACCGCCTCCTTCTCCTCCTCCGGGCCACCTTGGAACCCTGGCAGGAGCCGTGTGGAGCCCAGCTGGGGCACTGCAGGGCAGGTCACACTTGGGCTGGGCAGGTGCCGGGATTGCAGCAGAGTCCGCTCATGGTGCTATTTTTAGTACTGTCATCTCGGTCCTGGCGGGTGGCCCCAGCTCCAGCTGTAGTCAAGTGGCAACCACATGAGGTGTGTGGCTGCCACTTGACTCCAGCTGGAGCTGGGCAGCCCGCAGGCAGGAGCATGGTACTAAAAATAGCACCGCAGGTGGCCTCTACTCTAGTCCCGGCACGCAGTCCTGCCCCGGAAGCAGCTGGGGCTGGAGCTGTGGGGAAGTCTAGGGCCGGACTGTGGTAATAAAAATAGTGTTGTAGCCCAGCTCCAGCCCCACAAACTGCTTTGCATGTGGAAGGTAAAAGGCGAGGGAAGGGGCAGGGGGAGAACTAAGGGGGAAGTAGGGGTGAAGAGAGGAAGGGGCTTGAGCTGAGGGGAGGGGGGCAGGGCAGGAGAAGAAAGGGGAAGGCACCAAGGGTCAGGGTGGAGGAGAGACAAATGTCAGGAGGCCAAGAAGAGACAATGGAAAAGGGCAGGGGAGGGAAGGTGTCAATGGGGATGGGAGAAAGAAGAGGACAGGGTGATGCAGGAGAGGGGAAGGACAATGGAGGCAAGAGGGAGGAAGAGGAGAGGGGAGGAGTGGAGTGGATGTTGGGAGAAGAGGAGTTGAAAGGAGGGGTGAGCATGAGTAAGGTAGGAGACGGAGCAAGTCAAGCATGAGGGCACAGAAGGGTGTGAGGAGAACTGGGACAAACGGTTGTGAGGGTTGGGCACCAGGGAGAAAGAGGGAAAGGAGGGCAGGGGCAGTGAGGGAAGGGGGAGGCACCAGGAAGGTGCAGGGGTAAGGGAAGGTGCAGGTGCCAGAAGATTCTGGGGGTGAAGCAGAAGGGAAGACGCATGGACGGGAGGGACAAGCACTAGAGGACAGAAGAGAGAGGCAGTGAAGGTGGGTAGGGGGAGCTGTTAGGAGAGGGGATGGGGAGGGGTAGCTATAGATGATCAGAGAGGGGCTAGAGGAAGAATGGACACAGGGGGAGAGAAAGGCTGATGCGGGGGAGGGGGGCAGGTCCCCCAAAGGGCTGAGGGGAGTGAGAAGGGCAGGAGCAGAAAAAGAGGGTGAGGGGTGGGGGGGGGGGGAGCAGGCACCGGGGG